AATCTTCCTCTTTGAAGATGATCACTTGGTGATCGAAACACGTGTCGAGGTGTTAAAAATAACGATTTGGTGTTGGGAAAAAAACTCCAGTGATATTTTAGCTCCTTAATAGTTGATTATATTTAATCATTTTCAACTGAAATCCAACTACAACCATTTGGAAATTTTCCATTTAATCTGTTCATCATGTTTGGGAAAAATTGTATGCAAAAATATAATGGAGTTATCCATATGAACTTTTATCTGAAACTAGACGAATTTTCAAAATAGTACACATCTCTACTGCCTCCTGATTATTTTCATTGTTTTCTTCACATTTGTACTAAATCATAACAAAACAGCCAAAAATGTCCTTCTTCAAAAGCTTTTTAAAGTACTAAAACTTTTGAATGAGCACAGATAAACAAAAATGATAACGTTACTAGGGTGGGGCGCTGTGCTGGATATTATACTTAACGAAATTACTTTCATTTATGATCTCCACAAAATAGGCCATTCAAGAACTGAAACAAAAATTATTTTCACACATACAAACCTCACTTTCGTCAAAAACATGAAGAATATGGGTACATCAACGTAATGTAACAGGGTTTCAAAAACTAAACAAATTTCGTTCCTCATTGGCAGTTGTTTTTTTTAGCTGATCCTACTATTGCTATTTCGGAAACGGTAAGACCTATAAGGTAGGTTAAATTGGACAAAAGTTTCATATTTTGGTAAACTAGAATAATCCCTTTCCCCTTCTTCAGATCGAGAAAATCAATGGTTGTTTTTGAAATATTCGCCAAAAGCTAGGATTGTCGAATTAGTTATAATCTGATATAAACCAATTTGCAATGTGACGTTTCATTCGTTAGATTTCATCAACTTTTTTAATATGGACCTGTATTATTGTAATAAATAGCAGAATTTGTTATAACAGATCGAAAAATCGAAAAAATAAACTAGAAACGCGCCTGAAGAAGCTACTGTATAGCGAAACACGTGTTGCATTTTTGTAAAACTTTTTAGTGAAAATCTCACAATAAAGTGTTTCTTGAATACGTTATGGATTTTCATCAAATATCGGCCGATTCCATCACATAATTCCGTTGCAGTTTTTCCTGTTCGTGAGGGAATGAATAATTATTTTCAGTATCGATGCAAGTTGCACGAAAAGGTCTGAATTTTCAGCGTAATTATGAAAGTGTTGCCATATTCGAACTATTATCGATCTCAAAAATAGGAATCGATTCGGCTATAAAAACAACTCATTATCGTCATATTCATATCAGATGTTCCTAATGCTTAACTATAATAAGGAAAAATGTATTCGACATGATATTCGAAAGTTTTCGTTCTAACGATTATTTTTCAATCAGGACTCCTTCAATTCTTCCCCATTTATCTCTAAAGATTCTGTAACAACTGGATCTCAACTTCGAATTCCTGAAACAATTTCTTCTAGGTACCTCTTTACAAAATAGTTAAACATAGATTATGATGGTATAATAAAAGGTCAATCTACATACATTAACTATAAGTGTATGTAAGTTCATATTATATACTAATCAAGTGGTAATAGTCATATGCTTTTTTGAAATTCGTAGTAATTCCATTAGTTATCATCCAATCTCAGTGGGGCATACGAATGAGTAATATGTTACGTTATAAGCTGACGTCATCTTTATAATTCATCTTTTACCTATGTGATGTATGATGATTCATGGTATTATTCCAATCCTGTCCAGAGCAAATAATTTTTCAGTTCAGTTCTGAACTAGATGGACAACTGTTCCCATTATAAAGACGTATAAGTAAGATAAGTTAAAAAATTAATGTACCGGCAAATACTAGTAATAGTCCAAAACAAGCACTTTTCCCAATCACTGAAGTGCAATACCCTTCTTGACGGCCAAATTGGTTTGTGAAACGCACGTTGGTGGCATTCGGATAGTCGATGAAGAAGAACAACAAAACACACTGTGTCACCCAGCATGACACCCATTGATTTTTAATTTCAATTTAGCAGTATTCATAATTGATTGAGTATAATAAGATTTATTTTGATTTTCACTGAGGTTTACAAAACCGCGACACATGTTTCGCCATATAATAGCTTTCTTAATCAGCAAATCCCGCTTCCGAATGGAGGAAAAAAGAAGTCAACTACAATAGAAACTCATCAAAAAGATGTAAAGATCATGCACAGAAATTTATTTCAGATACAAACTGAAAGAAAAAAACGTGTTCGTTAGAGAAAGGGAAGCCAGACAAACTGGCGCTGTTACGCGTTAGGTAACGAAGCTGTTTACCCTCCCATAAGAAGTTATCACTTCGAAAATCCTTTCAAATCAACTGCTTCCACATGATACTGAATTACACGAAACGAAAAAGTCCTTTCGAAACAACTACTTCCATAAAAACATTGAATTACACAAAAATAAGTCTTTCTCCAAACATTAATTATTGAAACGTTACACAACGTAATATCTGAAAGAGCATTTATATAAAATTTCAGTTACATAAAACACTATCATTCCAAATAGTGTACTTTGAAGTTTCAGGATATGATAATTGTCTTATCTCCTCATCATCACCGTTTTGAAAAACATTAGAAGACGAAGGACTCATTTTTTCATAACGTATTGTATTTATTTCACCGCAAAAAGCAACTCTGCTCTTGTCTCAATGGCAGTTCATATTAACATCCATACGATGAATTGATTCAATCCGTGCCATAGGAATTTCATTCAAATAAAAAAGGTGATTTTTTAGGTGAAATTAGTTCTAAAGAAAAAACTTTCCCACACCAAAACACTCCCTTGACATGGGTTTCGTTAATTAAGTGAGTATCATCAGGAAATTATGAAAACTGAATCATCTCCTAATGAATATTAACATGGCTAGCGAAATGCACGTCGGAAGGAAGTGATTTTGTGGTGTTTTCTTCAAATTTCTTTCACGTATTTTTTGTCTTCAATCGAGGACCACCTGCTCGGTACTGACGATGCCACATGACTTTCTTGAAAATGGCCCCAAAATGGGAGCCGAAACGTCGAACACAAAACTCTGCATTAATCTCAACATAGCTTTTTGTATTGTTTATTGATCAAATAAATTTCTGCTGACCGGATGGTGAATTGCACAACTAATGAACATTTTGTTACATAATATGACCATGATGCGCTATTTCTTTACCTTGTCATTCCACATCATAAGTAGGAAACAATAATAGTACTTGGAGCCTAGATCATTTCATGACTTCAACCATCCAATAAAAAACGAAATACCTTGTATTGACTGAACATTTATTTTTGAGAATTCATTAAATCGCAAGTGATTGTGTTTACATACTATGTCATAGTTATTTTTGATTACAAACCAATTTATTCAGAATATCTTTTCAGGCTGAACTCGACACAAAACTCAGCGATGCCGGATCTCAACTGGTCGTTATCGATTTCCACGCTACTTGGTGTGGACCATGCAAAATGATCGCTCCAAAATTGGAAGAACTCGCCAATCAGTACACTGACATACTCATTTTGAAAGTAAGTTGAGAATTGATTCATTTGAAGTGTCCATCCAAGTGGTAGTATTCAACATTGATTTTCTGAATCGATACTTTTTTATCGAATATAATTTCCAGATCTAATATTTATCAATTTCAAGTTGGGATATGATTTCACCTACCTAACCATGAAATGTATTGAATTTGCCAAATGATTCGATACGGGCTGGACCCTCTGGCGTAGAATGAATATAATTACATTACTTCTTTCAACTACGTGGGCTTGTAATAATTGAAAAGGCAAGAATGGGTTGATTCAGACTGAAAAATTTACCGAGCTACAAGAAGTGAATGACAAAAATAACAGTTTTCAGTTGCATTCAGCTTCAGCCCAAATTGAAAAGTATCTATTTTTTCACTTGAAATATAATGTGGAACGCCTAGAAGTTTTAGGTTGGATCAATCATTATGGAAGTTCATGATAATTGTTTAAAATAATCTAGTAGCATCNGGGTGCGAGTATTCAATAAGTGGACGACAGATTAGTTTATATATTCGGCTTGCTGTTGATATGTTTGCACCTGCTCCCGAGTTTGTCAAACTTGTGAAATGTGCGGCTCATGCAATAATTTTCTTTTTTTTTTTGTTATTGACGTGGCTGTTGAAATTTACTCTGGAATCAAGTGTAACACCTAGGTGGAGCTGTATAAGTTATATAACAATGGTAAGAGCGGTGAACCCTGTGGAACTCCCTTTTCTGGGATAAATTCGTCTGAAAAACTACTCAGTATTTCAACTCCCAGTTTCCTGTCAATTATCAGATTCCTAACTGTATGTATTAGATAGTTAGGGCAACCCAGTTGATGCAGTTTGAATAAAACACCCTTGTTTAAAAATCTGTTTAAAATCTGTTTTTCCGTTAACCAGCTGTCGCACCCCTACGAACGACAACCCTCAGAAGTCGAAACTTGTGCGAGCTAAATTGTCAGGTATATAATGAGTTTTGAGGCAAAATTCACAGCTTTTTATGATATACTTGTGAATCTCATAATCCAGCTTTCTCAACATGTTTCTTGTGATATAGTCATGCCCTGGAGCTGAGTTTTTTTCCTGATATAAGATTTCAAAATATTCTTCTTCATCTGCATTGAATGTATTATTTTCTTGTATGAGTACCTGCGAAAAGAAGTTTTCGTAGCAATCGCTCACATTTTCATAATGATTACGGTCAAAGTTCAAGTTGACGCTTTCTTTGTTGCTTTTTAAGTTTTTAGCAAATATGTAAACTTTTTCGGAAGGTAACTCATATTCAATATTGTTATCTATAATATTTTTAGTATGTACTCCATCCTTTTTGTATTTGGATAATTTCTATATTTCATTCCAATAGAATTTGCCCTTCTTCTCATGAATGGCCTCACATATTTGAATCCATTTGTGGGCTCTGTATTCTTGAATGAAATTTTGAATGTTCTTGTTAAACTTATTAATTGAAGCTTTAGACGTTGGATCTCTGTTTGCTCTATATTCACGATACATAAATTCAAAAATTCTGATTCGTCAGACATAGATGGTTATTTCAAATAACCTAAAAAATGTGCCCTGTCTACAAAATAGTGATTGCCTGGGCTACAAAAAATCACTTGTCGCTCAATGTAAGTAAAACCGTATTATTGAAGTTCTCCTTCATAAACTCCAAATGATTATTTGGGTATCTTTGAAAATAAAGACTTCAAAGTTTCATCTTGTCCTATAGATCATACACTCATATGGAGTTTCCATATCGACTCGCCTTGTGAAATTGTTATGCAATAAGGTTTATAAGTAATCACTGTACCTACTGCAGAATCCTTGTTAAGTATATACAACGAAATGAAATTTTGAAATGGGATACTTGTGCTTCTACCAAAAAAGTATTCATACTTCAGAAGTATGCTATCAGAGTTATTGCTGGTTCAGAATGGCGACAATCGTGCAAAAATTCCTTTGAAGAACTTTAAAGAATACATCATAATATTCCTAAGTTTATATTAAACAGCAAAAATCGTGGCTACTCTACTAGATCAACAGACCTATTAATACCTGCCATGGAACAGCAATATAAAAACGTCACCTCTACCTTGTTCCTGAAATATTCAACAAATTGGTTACCTCAATGAAAGATTTTAACAATAAATCAGTTTTCATGTCATGTTGAAAGTTTACCATCTTCAAAAAAAATTTCTACACTTATCGACAGATGTTTAAACCAACAGTTTTGATGTATTTTAATTTGTTCTGACTACCAGATCCTCTGTTGTTAAAATACCTATATTTTACCTCAAGTGGCGTTTTTCTTATTACTGTATTCAATTTTTGTAAAAAAATCATATACATTTTAACGTGAAAAATAAATGAATATTATTATTATCATTATAAAAGAGTTTAAAATGTCTAGTTCTGTTAATACATAGTATAATCTTTTTTTTTTCTTCATTGCAGGTTGATGTAGATGAATGTGAAGATATTGCCATGGAATACAATATCTCCTCCATGCCTACGTTCGTCTTCATCAAAAATAAGGAAGTCATCACCACCTTCAGTGGAGCAAACTATGAAAAGTTGAAACAAACAATTGACTCAAATAAATAAATACATTTTCCAATTTGCCTTCTATAAATTATTCAGATTGTATTGAACAAATATTGTATCCATGTTAAATTAATTATAATGCATAGAATTATCATTTTATACTTGTTCTTGCTATTCTAAATTTCCTGAAATCATTTCTAGCAGCACATGTAATTTGAGATTGTGAAATGTATTGGAAAACAATATAATAAATTGTTAAAACTACAGTGAATGTAGGTAATAGTTTTATTTTGATACGAATAAGTAACATTCGTGAGTTTCAAAAGCTTCAGCTCTTGCCGAACTTCTGAAGGAAGGTTGCAATCCCTCTCAGCTTATAGTAACTGATATTGGTTTACTCAATGAAATTTAGATTATATTAGATCAACTGTATCTATTTATTCACATTTTTATATTTACTATGACATGTAATATGCCGTCTCACCTGAATGCTTGAAGGGGCAATAAACAATTAAAAAAACTAAGCTTCAATTTCGAAATGCCAGCCTTTAAATATTTGAAACATCATTAACATCACTGTAATTAGTTGTCTGCAAGATTTATTTGGGGTATATTAGAAAGTGTCTAAATATATCCTACATATACAAGTATACCCCACATATTTCAATCATTCTACCACGCCTAAAATAATCGGATTCCTAACATGAATACATTTTTCAAATTTTTTAAAATCAAAATTGAAAACATCTGTTTTAAATCCCTCAAAAGTCGAAACTTGTGCGAGCTAAGGACTAACGAGGTCTTACCTTTTAACGTGTGATTCCTAACACGAGTTGCACGATAGGAAGTGAAAATCGATCATCCGGGACTTGTGGCTCGATCCACCATTTCACAAAGCGGTCGATTGAGTGAGTGGAGCAAACCACCCATGTCAACCCGACCGGCTACCGTCCTACCATGTTCGAGTTGAATTTTCAACTTTTTTTTATTGTCCTTAAAAACACTAAAAAATATCAACAAACTCATGAACACTAAAATGTCTTACTATCAGCGCCACTTCTGGATTTACTCAAAAGTGGGCTTTGGTAATCCCCTCTTCATAAAAGGGAACATACACATCTCCACTCAATAGAGATTGTTATGAAATTGGTGACACACGTGAATTATTATATTCGTACCGTATATTGGTGTCCAGGTGTTTTCAGTATGCTGTGTAATCCCCTTTATGAGGTATTTCAGTGTGATTCAACTATTGATGGGCATAATCGAATTATCAATAATCATTTTTTTTATGATAGAATTATCATTTGAATTATAAATCACTCGAAATGCCCAGTTGAATCACTCATTAGACATTGATAAGTCACTAGTTGTTCGATATGTGAATGTACCCCACTAGATTAAACAAATTTTTACCTGTGATGCACTGTTTGGAACCTTTGGTGTAGTAATGAATACTACTGGAGTTTTTTCCCAACACCACACTGTTATTTCAACACCCCTACACGTGTTTCGATCACCAGGTGATCATCTTCAAGAGGAAGATTGAAAGTTTAAACTCGAAAAGTTTGTATAGCTTTAGAAACGAAGATATACTAGAAAAGTTTCTATAGCTTTAGAAACGAAGATATACTAATCTAACAAATTCGTGTTTGGTTTATTGTTTATATGAAATGCTGCATGGTATCACTGCACGTTAAATCCGAAAATAATGGTTTTTCAAATTTCCAAGGAATCAATGACACTACATCGGGTTATTCACCATTATCACGACTCACTCCAAAAGGCTCTAAGACTGAGGGGATATTTGCTACAGACAAAGCTCTCTTTAACAGGTCATTCACAGCCCCATGAAGAGATCTTCAACCAGCAACTAAACTTACAACTCAAACCATAAACACCAGTTTCATCCACTTCAACACCACAAATACATTTATAGCGAATGCAAATTGTTGAACCGACTCGAAGACCAACAGATATCCTAAATGTTTGTTCATAATGATATCCAAGATTGGGAACTAGAAATGTATTCAATCAAGTACCTGGTTTGTTTGAAGTGATTGCATTGAGACGAACCTTTTGAGTTGTAGACACAGTTGTATCAAGCAGGGACTCCAAAAGTAATTTCAAATAATACACCAATCACCCTGTTGTCCCTTATCTTCAAGATATGGAAAGGGCCAACAAAATTTGAATCATTTATTTTACCTCCACAGGGGCTTCCCAGTTAGAATATTTGAAAATCCTTTCTTAGTGCGCATCTAAGACCTGAGAAGCGCCTATATACCAAATTTTAGCTTCCTGGGACTTACCAGTACGGAGAAACAGAGATAAATGAGTGTTAAGTGAGTGACTTTCACATTAATAAGTATAGATTGTCAATTTTTTTAATAATTTTAAAAACGAATGAAACTGTATTAAAGGCGCACCAAAGAAATGGTGAGTCAAACCCTCCAGAATTTAAATATCTAACACTCTTTACCAGGGCTTCAATTATAGTGATGAACTATGAACTATGACCTCTCATGAGAATCAAGTTGTTCAAAAAATTTTTGATGAAAATTCGCCATAAATAACTTTCATATAGATGCCAAGAGTAGAGCAACCTTAGATTAGATTAGCGGCAGCATCATCTTGAAAAAAAAAATAAAACAGAGACAGAAATGACCTATGAGTATATTATCATTGAATAATATTTAAGATTTTGAGGATTTTTCTGATAATTCTAAGAAAATTTGTGTTTTTTGTTTATTGAACAACAAAATGTACAGAAATAAATGAACATATCTTATAATCTAATATACATTATTATAGATTTGTTACTGAAGAAGTTAACAAAATATCAGTACATACAATATTCATTAAACTCCATTAAGCTTTCTGACCTAAGCATTGGTATTATCTGGTATGTATTTTAATTTTTATCTTTCTATAGAAAATATTTAAATATTTATTTTTCGTTTGTAATAAATGAAAGTTGTATTATGTTATATATGGAATATAAAACATCAGAAATTGTGAATACCAAACAAACATAATTTGTAAATATTCTTAAAATGACATTTTTTTTGTGGAGGACTCAATATATTATACTGTTTTTTTGTAAGGATATAAAACCAAAAAAAAATATAAAAAACATAATCTGATTTAAAGAAACGGTTTTTATAATTTTATGATATATATTATAATCATGTACAACTACATTATTATCAATAGTTACACTAAAAATTGAATTTTCAGTAAAAAATCACTCTTTTCTGAGAACAAAAGTTGGTATTTTCAAAATATATCGTATTAAAAAATGGTAAATACGTATAATGCAATTTCTAATATTACATTATATTAGGTATAATAGCATCTATTTCACATATAATGATATACCAAATGATTTGTAGATTGTCCCTTAATTTTTTGTAATAAATGATGATATATTTTGAAAAACCATTATCACAATAGTGTGCTATTTTATTTAAAATTACCACTAATTCGCTAATTTCATTATTTTATACCTATGCCAAAAATGTCTAATACATATCAAATTTTCACAGCAAGTTAGTACGGATACAAACAAGGACAGCATATCCGTGTATAGTAGCTAGCTCACTGTGGACCTACTGACCTCTTTTTACATTTATCCAATATTTTAATCTTCTACTCCTAATAGACATGTATCTAAAAATCAGTTCATTGTTTTTTTTTCAGATCAGACGAGTAAATAGAATCATATTTTTTCTACAATTTTACCAAGAAAAATCCAAACTATGTTTAAATTATATTAATTTCTTTCTAATCATGTCTCAAGAATAGGGAGTATCATCGATGTATCAGTGAATGATAGAGATTTCCCTATTGGTATAGAAAAAAAATTGTATAAAAGTTATAGTGAGAAGTGACAACTGTTAAAAAAATAATCACCAACATATAGGGTGTCCCATAAATACCTCAAAATTGTCTTTTTATAAATACAACACCCAATATATTTCAACTCGATTAATTTTTTCTGATGAGTTGGTTTAAAAAATATAACGTACTTATAGGTTATACCGGGTGATTCTCAAGTTATGGAGAGATTATGTCAGAAAATGTTCACTCATATAAATATATCTTACTCGATCCAATGGAATAACAAAATTTTTCAGAAAAATACGGGATACATTTTTTCAAAAAGAATAAATAAGGTCAAACCAAAATGATCCCCACCCTAACTTTTCAAAAAATATAGTTTCAATTTCTTGATGAAAATATGAAATAATTTGATTTGATGATGATTTTTTTATTCGTTGTTGGAAAAATAGGTAACAAAATGAACTCAAACTCATGACTTGTGATGCACTGTTTGGAACCTTTGGTGTAGTAATGAATATTACTGGTTTTTCTTTCCCAACACCAAACCGTTATTTTAACACTTCGACACGTGTTTCGATCACCAAGTGATCAACTTCAAGAGGAAGGTCAAATCGATCTCCAGTAATATTCAAACCCATGACTCAAATGTATGAAAATCATGCATTCATCATGTTCAATCCTGTCATTTTGAATTGCATGATGACGATTTTTTTATTGAATGCTAAAAACAGAAAATCAAACAATGTATGAAAACCTAAATTCACAGCAGATGTTTCATTTTGAAATAATCACAAATTGATCCTTCAATTAAAGTTACAATAAAACCAAAAACTATTGTAATTCAATTTCTCATGTCTTCTGATTTCTCTTGATAGCCATCTCTTTCAACCTATCCCTATAGATAGCAATCTAGGGGCTGACCACTGAATGAGTCCATTTCTTTAGACCCATTTATTCCTATGCCACCTATTGAGAAATCTTCTTAGTTGATTTTGATTGCAACGAGGCAGGCTGTCACATTGGTTATACTACCTATGTTCGCAGTCAATAGGTATATCCTCCAATAAAATGGGTAAATAATTTCAGATGGAATATCTCCATCAAGTGATTCATTGAAAAAAATAGTCTTTGGACCTGATCTCCAAGTATTCCTTCCTAAACATTTATCGGCCATCTGTTTTAACTATCAACTTCTATGGTCCAATGGGGAAGGGGGGTCACTGTTTGAGTAGTAGTGGCAATCGTGACTATTAACTTTTTCAAGGTAAACTCAAGTAGTTTTATTTTAATACGGGTCCAATTAAACGAGTTAATTCCTAAAATGTGGAATTGTTAGTCATTAAGTAGGTAGTAATAGAAAATTAGTGATGATGTGAACTGTTTAGAATCTTCACTTGAGTACAGGGGAAACTGCCATTGATACATTTTT